CCTTCCACTCTATCTAGGATCTCCAATTTTAATCCCTTCCAAGTCGTTGGCATTGGTAATTGGGCACCATCTAGTTCTTCTGGTCTCAGGGTCATGAAGGCTGAGGTCTTCACATTCCATCATATCTTTGGACTAATTGTTTCCAAATGACTTTGATTTTCTTCACTCTTCTTTGCTCCAGACAAGAGACCAATAGTTGTATCTTAGATTGAAGAGGCAAACCTCTTCAATGGCACCTTTAAATATATATATAAATACACACACACACACACACACACACATATATATTTGTTGGAAAAAAATTTAGGAAAATACTAGGCTTTGGTTGAGACACAAAATAAATGTACTAAAAGTATAAACACAGCCTGTCACAAATTGTGGTAAATGTGAACATCCCAGCACTCATCGTGGTTCAGCCATTTCTGTACTCCCAGATTCCCACAGTATCTCTAGATGTTTGCTTGAGTTGTTTTTGACATGAAGGACTCTAGGAGTGGTAGGGTTTTTCATCACTTGAAATAACTGGCCTCATTCCAAATAAATATGCCTAATAATTCCTTATGTGGAAGAAAATGAAAACTCACCAGGCTAGGAAACAAATTACTGGTATGTTCTCGCACAGGGCACTCGCCCTGCCTATGCCTCCAGGGATTCTGGTTGTTTAGCAACCAGCCAGTGTCCAAATACCACGAGCAGATTAGCAAACTAGGTCTGTGAGGAGCATCTGGCCAGATCCCAACCTAATGCTTCTTCATTAGGGGTTAATAGCACACCAAGAAGGAGCTCTGGTAGCGTAGTGCCTAAGGCACTTGACTGCTAACCAGAAGGCTGGCAGTTCAAACCCACCAGCCACTCCTCAGAAGGAAGATGGGGCAATCTACTTCCGTAGCGATACTGCCTCAGAAACCCAAGGAGGGGTCGCTATGAGTTGGGTCCGACTCGACGGCACATAACAACAACAACAGCACACCAAGATGGCACTGCTTGTTAAGTGCCAACAGTGGACGGACAGAACCAACAGAGGTGGAGGAACTGGGCCTTCCTCTTGGCTAACAGCAAGCTGGATTCTCAGGACATGTGTTCCAGATCTAAGTTTACTATTCAGAAGCTATGTATCCCTGGCAAGTCATTTTACCTCTAGGGACTGGTTTCTCACTTATAAAATTAAATTAAAATTTCAAAAATTAAATAAAATTAAAGAATTTAACTAGGTAGCCCCTAAGGCCCACGCAAAGAGCATGAGCTTTGGATCTGAAATTTGATTCTGATCCTTACTAACAATAATCACTCCACCTCTTTCAGCTTTGGTTTCCTCACCTGTAACACAGAAATCATGATAGCAACTCTATAGGGTCTGTGGCAGGTTATGAGCAGATACTGAAGCCCTAATGATGTAGAAATAGAAACAGAACCCAGAAATATGTGTCAGTGGGGAGGCAAAGATTCCTTTAGAAAGCAGTAGGTAGACTCCTCAATGTTGATTGGGGCCTTTTCTGGGCCAAAGGTATAATAGACAGTGGTGACCCGTCAGCTCCTCGAAGGAGCTGCCTCCACTCTTCAGGATCTTTATCTTCTGCCGTCTTTGGGCAGCTTGTTCACTACTTCATTGAAAGAGAAAAGTGAGCATAACCCTGAACACAGAGTTGTCATCTTGCTAACTGTGATAGTTAAGTTTGTGTGTCAACTTGGCCAAGCCTGGTTGAAAGGCTGGGCAGCTAGATGTAGTATTCCCCATGATGAGACGGGTAATCAACTCCATGGTGGGACCTACCACAAGCAGCTGAGTAGCTGCCTTTGGGTATGTGGTGTGATTCCTGTTTATAAGAAACAGCTTTGGGAATGGTCTCTAGCTTATGGCATGCTTGAAGCCTGCATGTAGCTGTGTCATTGTTCAGCAGCCTGCCATGCTCTGCTGACTTTGGGACTTTCAATAGGCTTAACTCTAAATCAGTGGCCTGCCACATGGTTTGGTATCATTGGGACTGTGGCATTATATTTGTTGACCTTTGGGCTTGTTGCCTCAGCAGCCAGTAGCTGCCTGAGTGACGAGATGCCTCTAGCTTCAGTGGGCCAGAAGCAAGAGGCAGATCTGAAGCCCAAGGTCGAGAGGCTTTCACACAGCCCCTAGAGCCTGGCATTTTGAACTTGGACTTCTAGCCTCCCGAACTGTAAGAGAATAAATCTTGTTTGTTCAAGCATCCCATTTGTGGTATATTCTTGTCAGAGTGGCACTAGGTAACCAGAACACTAATCTTCCAATCCTGGTGATCGAGGTAGCTCAGGGCCACTGTCAGGATCCAATGAACTAAAATGTGGGAAGCTCTCTGCCATTTCACTCTCTGTCCCACTTTCAAAGATCATCTCCCATAATCAACAATTAGAGTCCCTTGAAAGTTACACTAAAGGGAAGAGGGAGGGAGGAAGAGAGGGAAAAAGAGAGGGAGGGAGGGGGGAAAGAAAGAAGGAAGGAAGGAGTACAGTTTCTTCTTCACTTGCTATGACTATCATAACTAACTACAGGCATATCTCATTTTATTGTGCTTTGCTTTCCTGAGCTTCACAGACATTTCATTTTTTACAAAATGAAGGTTTGTGGCAACTCTGTGTCGAGCAAATCTATTGGCACCATTTTTCCAATGATGTGCTCATTTCATGTCTCTGTGGCAACATTTTGCTAATTCTCACAATATTTCAAGCTTTTGCATAATGCTATTGCAGGGCAGTAGACTACCATAGACCGGTAGACTTTCACATGTACTGTGCAGTGTAGTAAATTACTTAGTGTGGCTTTTCTACCCACAAGTCATTATAAACTCAGTGGTGGAATGAGCAACTGAGGAGCTCCTGATTATAAATGTTATCCACCTGGGTTATTTCTGTTGGGCGTGGCACAATACAATGTTCTGGGAGATTCCCACTCTCTTTCAGGTGCTTAGAGTTCTGATGATATGATTGGTTAGTTTGACCACTCTGCCGGGCTCAAAAGGAGGCCTCCTAGAGGAAGAACTCTCTCTGACTGCTGCTTGAGGAAGATGTGCTGCCTAAAGAGACATGCGCTCCTGAAAGAGACACGTGCTGCCGGGAAAGAGACGCAAGAGACACGCATTGCTGAGTAAGACACCGAGGGACATGCACTGCTGGGGGAGAGACTGTGAGAGACTTGGCTGAGGGATGGTGGGCTGGGAGAGAGACTGAGCATTTTTCCTGAACTCGAATTGTAGCTTGGTGCTTCCCTAATAAACCTCATAATCTGTGAGTTCTGTGTGGCTACTGCAGTGAATTAGTGAACCCAGGAGAGAGGTGGTGGGTGCTTTGGGAGGAACAGTTGGAGAAAGGGCTGGAGGGAAGCAGCATGTCTTGCCTCACAGTAATAGGCCTTGGGCTATTGATGGTGATTCTGTCTTCCTCTTGTGGGACTTGAGGAGGTCAGAACATGTGGCCTCCTTGCCCTTTTTGCACAATGGGAAATAAAAAAGTTCCTGTGACTCACTTTACTGGAATAGTCACTTTATTGGGGTAGTTTGGAACTGAACCTGCAATGTCTCCAAGGTATGCCTGTACTGCCCAAGGGCTCAGCCTCACTTCCTTTGTGCTTCAACATATGCAAAACTGTATATGTAGTAACATCCTGAACACTGGGAGTTTTCTTTATTGTCCAGTCATTTGGGGCACTGTCAGCTGACTTTTTGCAACTTTAGGAATGAATGACAAAACCAGTGACTGAATGAAGTGGGGAGACTGGGAGGAAATGAACATGGTGCTATAGCCACCAAGGGCCAACTCAGCCTGAAAGGGTGTTTCTTTTGCATGGCAGAAGAAGAGTACTAAGACAGAAAATCTGAAGGTGACTCTTTATATCTGCTCATATTGAGACACACAATACTCCCAAGGGGGTCTGGCCAGGCACCTCAGATATAACTATGTACTTACCTCTGCTGTGGGTCTGCTCACACTGTACTTTCGGGCTCTGTTGTAAGCCCTCTTCCCTTTTCAACCTATCCACTCCCATCTTCTCTACCAAATATGTTCCCTTGGGTGTTCTCACAAGCACCTCAAACTCAGAAAATCTCAGTGGAAGCATCATCTCTTCACTCAAGATTTTTTTCTTCCTGCAGTGTTCCCAGTCTTAGGGAATGACACCACTGTCTGCCTATTTGCTAAAGCAAGAACTTGAGGGTCATCCTTGACTCTTACCTTTCCTTCACCCTCCCCACCTAATCTGCCATCAAATCTTGTCAATTCTACATCTAAAATAGATCTTGAAGCCATCCATGGCTCTCCAACCCCATTACCCCATCCATCCTAGCACAAGCTATCATTATCTCTTGTCTAGATACTATGCTACCTGCATCCATTTTTACCTCTCCCATTCACTCTCCAAACTGCATCCAGAGTGATTCTTCAAAACTGCAAACTGATCACGGTCTTCTTAGAGCTCTCCAATAGGCACCCATTACCATCATGAGAAGTCTAAAATCCTTCTACCTCTCTTTCAAGGCTTTACATAGCATGGCTCTGATCTACATCACCAGTCACATTTCTTCCCACTCCTCCTCCTAAATTACAAATCACCCATCCACACACACGTATATACATACAGACTCTAAACTGTATTACATACTGTACTTATCTTCTGGAACCTCCTTCTTCCCCCATTCCATCCCACCAACTTCTACTCCTCCTTAATACCAAGTCAGTGCTTCTTGCCATGGGCTGCTCAAAAAGAAGCTCTCAGCACACTGGCCATCACTCCTCTGGGTCTGTCCTCCTCATGAGAACATGATGGCAGGGGTTATATCTATCCTGCCCACCACTGTCTCCCATACCACCTAAAATAGGACTTGGCATAGAGTGGTGCTGTGTGTGTTTGTGTGTGTGTATGAATGAATAAATGAATAATGAATGCTCTAGAAATGTCTGATGATTCAATGAAATCTAGAAAGCTAGATTAGAAATGTGAGAACACCACAGAGCCATCCATCCCCCAGGACCCATCTCACCTCAGCACAATGACAACGCAGAGGAGTGTTGCAAAGGCCAGACTTCCTCCAGCCACCAGGAATATGGGCAGTGGTTCTGAAGAAGAATCTTGTAATACAGGGAAAAAAAAAAAAGAGAGAGGGAGAGAGAGAGAAAAAAAAAATTCAGCTGGTGCTGTCAATGTCCTCAAAGGAACTTCAACCCCAGAGAAGGAAATAGCTCTATTAACCAAGAGGCCACTTGAAGAGCTGGCCCATTTTCTGGCCAAAGCCAACTCTATAGTAGCCTCACTCCCAGCATAATTTGACAGACCCTCAGATTTCACCACTTGACAAGAAATACACCCCAAGGGTAGAGCTTCTGAGCCACAGATTCCCACTCACTTTCAAAACAGGCTTCCATGATAGTGCTTAGCCTGTTTTTCTAAGGCACAGAGGGGGTGCAAGAAACAGAAGCCCGTGGGGGCCTCAGTGATGGCAGCTCCACCAAGAGCCATGTCTGGGAGGCTCAGATGTTTTAAATCAGATCCCAAAGTATTTAGAAGCAATTTGTTCCATTGAAGTATCATCCTTTGCCTGTTTCCCCACCAGCTACTCAACTGCCAGTCATGTAAGCTTCATTCAGTTCTCCAACATACCATGGCCTCTTTCCTCCAGGCCTTTCCACATGTGTTCCATCTGTCTGAATGCTCTACCACCTTTGCTGCATCCCCCCACGCACACATTGTCCAATCCCTACTCTGCCTTTGAGTCTTAGACAAGGACAGGCCTTTGAGAAATGACTCCACCCCAAGCTGGGTAAGAGTCCCTCGTGGTTACTTCTCCAGCTCCACCTCTAGATTGAGTTCCCTGAAAGTGGGAACCACATGTGTCTTTTTCACTGTTGTACTCCCAGCTGCTTACACAGCACCAAGTACAAAGCAGGTTCTCCAAAATCTTTTGTTGAATGTATGAAAGAACAAACCAGCTCCACAAGCAGCCATGTCCTCCTACAGAAAGGCCCTACCTATTGCTGTCAGAGAGAAACTCTGGGCTGGACAGAGAGCATATCTAAGCAAAACCATCATTCTATCTCCTTCTGCTGGGAATGCAAAGATTCAGGCTCTCTTTCCCAAATGTGCCCATTGTTAATGATACTCTCTGCCAGTCTTCACCTCAGGTGCTCACTGTATGCTCACTGTATTCAGGCATTGCAGTGAGTCCAGGCTAGTAAGCGAGCATTCACTACAGGACAAGTCTCTCCAAGTGTGATTCTTATCTCTTGGCAGAGATCATCACCTTTTATATTTGTTCGTTCATTCACCAAAATATTTATTATGTGCCTTTCTTGGAAGCCTTGGGGATACAAAGAAAAGCAGCTTCTAGGGCCTGATCAATCATGACTATGTAAAGAGGCCCCAGTAAAGGCCTGGACACCAAAGCTCCAGGGGCTTCCTGGTTGATGTAAGGCATGTCTCTTTTTCAGACATGGAAGCTCTACATTAGAAACTCTCCCACCTTGCCCTCTAAGTCTCTTTAATTTTATCCTTTTGTTACAATAAATCTATAATCATAAGTACAGCATTTTCTTGTATTCTGAGTCATTCTAGTGAATTATCAAAACCAAGGGAGTAGTGGGATTCACAGATAAGAAGTGAGGAGGTCCCTGGAGACCCCTGAGCTTAATAACTGGTATCCTGAGGGATAGTGGGAAAATCCCTAATTTATAGCCGGCAGGTCATAGAGACTACAAGCTTGAGGCTGGTGTCTGAGGTATTGGCCAGACTTGGTAGTCTAGAAGACTAAGCCGTTTAACTTGTGAGATCTGACTTAGCTCCAGGTGGTTAGGGTCAGAGGACGAAGTGCGGCAGGGGCTGGCAGTGTCAGAAGAGAAGTGGAAAAGAATTTATAATAAACTGATTTGAAATGATCAACACATTTGGTATTGGAGAAATGGGGATTGATTTGACTTTCACAGGAGGCATCAAGCATTCTGTTTTAGGTATGGTGAGTTTGAGGTATTTACTAGGTTCTGAGTACATATCTCGACTAGGCAGTTGGATCCATGAGTAAGTATAGGTCTTAAGGAAAAGGTCAGGGATGGAGTCATCAGCCCATAGATGGTCTTTAAAGACATGAGTCTGGATGAGATTATCAATGAAGGTGGAGGGAGAAGATTTGAGGGTTCCTATGACCACTGGAGTCCTTATACACACACCTCAACTGCCTGCCACCCTATCATATCACTCAAGGCCCATTTCAAACGGCACCTCCTCCATGAACCTCCTGTGATCTCTCCAACTGGATATGCTCTCTTGAATCTCTAAATTGCAGCTTCACTCTATCTATGCCTTCCTTTGGCAGATCCCACATTCTACTCTTTATTACAGTTACAGGTTTACTCTTTGTCAGAGCCTGCCTGCTGGACTACAGATCTGTTGAGAGCAGGGATGGGCTTCCCTTCCTCTGAGTCCCCAGATGTGCAGAACTTAGCCCCAGGTAGTCAGTAGGTGCTCCACAGGCACACTGAATTGCAGTAGGGCTTTTCAACCAGGATAGTGCAGCATGGGCAACTGGCATCAGAGGAAGGCAGGAAACTGCCCAGGTAAGGGTGATGGGGCCAAGGACTTCCTCAGCAAGTCCAATAACCATCAGATGGAGCCGCTTAACCACTGAACCTCTGGAGCCTGGCCTCCATGAATCCCACATGTGCAGTAAAACAAACAGGTTAGGTGCTGCTGTCAAGTCGATCCTGATTCCTAGAGACCCTATGAGACATAGTAGTAGTCCCCCATAGGGTTTCCTAGGCCATGATCTTTTTTTTTTTTCTTTAATTGTGATTTGGGTGAAAGTTTCCAGAGCAAATTCACTTTCCATACAGCAGTTCACATATACTTTGTCTCATGACATTGACTACAATTTCCCACAATGCAACAGCTCCCCTCCCACTTCCTCCCAACAGTCATCTCTTCCTTGTGTCTATCCCTCCATGCCCTCCTGCCCCCTGAGCTGTGTCTCCTTGTGCATAAGCAGCCCTTCTTTCTCCCATGATTGTTCTCTCCAAGGAGTGTATCTACATAATGTAAATGTTCAACTCATACGCCTGTCTTTTGTTTGGCTGGAAGCCACAGGAGTGGGTTCAATTCCAGACCTGAATGGCATCTAGGGGCCATAGTCTCAGTGGTTCCATCAGGCTGTATCAGACCAACAAACCTGGTCCCCCTTTTTTTAATTTTTAATGATTTTGAGTTTTGTTTCACATTATTCTCCCTTTCTACCCAGGATCTCCTACATAGGTCCCCCTCTGAGTGGTTGACAGTGGTAGCTGGGCACCATCTAGTTTTTCTGGTCTCATAGTCATATAGGCTGCAGATCGTATGGTGTACCAGTTGCTAGGACTAATTGTTTCCATGAATCTTTGGTTTTCTTCATTCTTCTTTGCTCTGGACGAGGAGAAACCCATCATTGCATCTAGATGGCTGCTTGCAAGCTTTTAAGATCCCAGTTGCTACTTGCTAGACTGTAACCCTTATAGAAATCACCAGGTCTTTTTCTCATGGAGCCACTGGGTAGGTTTGAATCGCCAAACTTCTGATTAGCAGCCAAGCACTTAACCATTGTGCCACCAGGCCTTCTTAAAACAAACATAGGAACTGTGATTTTCCTTGATTCCTATATTGATACATTTTCCTAGGCTTGTGGTAGAGGGAGTTGTAGAGACAATTCAGAAGCACTAGAATCAAGGGCTCCCAAAACGAAAACTTCCCCAACATGCATTCCATTTCAGACGCCAATAATTTTGTTAGTAGTACATTCACTTTTATTGTGGCTAAGAGTGAAATATTTCAAATTTGTCGTATTCTTATGGTCCCCTCACTATTTCTTGACTAACAATATCAAGTTTGAATGTATAAACCAAAAACCAAACCCACTGCCATCGAGTTGATTCCAACTCATAGCAACCCTATAGGATAGAGTAAAACTGTCTCATAGAGTTACCAAGGCTGTGAATCTTTATAAAAGCAGAGTGCCTCATCTTTCTCCTGTGGAGTGGCTTGTGGGTCTGAACTGATGATCTTTCGGTTAGCAGTCAAATGCTTTAACCACTGTACCACTAATGTATAAAGCAGTTTATATTTTTGCCATTGACCCTTTTCATGAACTCAGGTTGTCCTTCTGCCAACTTTTCCAAGTAAGAAAGGACTTTCTGAAGAGACAAGATTCTTGTGCCCCTCAGACTATAGGAATGTACAAAAATACCCAATCCTTACCTGGGAGACTTGTTGCATTTGTAGGATACATAGGGGGAGTATTAACATCACCATCTTCTTTAGTAGTTGATACCTAAAAGAGACATTCCTCACCTTAAGCCTGATTCTGCGGATTTGAGAAATGAACCCAGTTCAGATACCATCTCCTCAAAACTTCTGATTCACCTAAGGAATTCCTTTCTGCACTCCATGAGCCTCCCCATATCTGGCTTTTGTCACACTTTTTCACTATTGTTTCTATTAAAAATGTAATATCCCTTGCCTGCTCAAGGTGGAGATTTCTTTCCATCTGCCTCTCCATCAAGAGCTTAAGGGCATAGCCCTTTCCAAAGAGGAAACACTCAATAAATACACTGAAGCAGCAATTGTCTTTACAAGTCTGCTATTGTCACTTACAGGGAAAAGCACAGACTAAACCCCTGGCACTACTTACTAGCTACATGACCTTAGGTGAGTTTCTTAATCTACCTGGACCTCAGTCTTCCTCCCTCATAAAATGTTAGCTGCCGTCAAGTCGGTCCCTGACTCATGGAAGCCCCCCACATGACCAAATGAAATGCTCCCCAGTTCCGTGCCATCCCCATGACTGGTTGGTTGCACATTAGATTGTCGGGATCCACAGGGTTTTCACTGCTGATTTTTCTGAAGTACGTAGCTAGGCCTTTCCTCTTAGTTCATTTGAGTCTGGCAGCTCTGCTGAAACCTGTTCAGCATCATGGCAGCATCCAGGACTCCACTAACAGACGGGTGGGGGCTGCCCATGAGGTGCACGGCTGGGAAGAGAATTCAGGTCTCCTGCATGGCAGGCAAGAATTCTACCAATGAAGCACCAATTCCCCCTCATACAATAGGGATTCTAATTCCTCATAGGCCTAACATGAGAATTAGATGAGAGAACAAATGCAAGGTATTCCAGCCTGGCAATGCCTGGTTGGTCATCATACGTGTCAGTAACCCCCCTCCAGTGAGGGGAGATCCCTGGGACACCACAGGCCTCAGCTTCATCCTGGAGCTTCTTCCTGCAGGTGTCTGGACAGTCCTACATCAAATCTGTACAAGGTTTAGGAGCCCCGGGCTCCTCCCCTGTGCTACTCAGCTCCAGAAGTAGCTGAGCCTCCCAGCTTAGCATTTAGAGACTTAAGGGCCATGGGAGGAGATACGGTTGGTTAGGAAATTGGATTATTCAAAGAGTTTGTTAAGCAGCTTCAGAGGTAATCCTCTTTCTAGAAAATTATGACACCAGGAATCCACAGGGGCAAGCGCTTGGATGAATTGACTTAAACCCACTGCCATTGAGTTAATTCCAACTCACGGCAACCCTATAGGACAGAGTAGAACTGTTCCCATAGAGTTTCTAAGGCTGTAAAACTTTACAGAAATGGACTACCTCATCTTCCTCCCATGGACAGCTGGTAGGTTTGAACCACTGACCTTTTGGTTCGCAGCCAAAAAGCCACTGCACCATCAGAGCTCTTTGTTAAGCCATTACCAAACCAAAAAACCAAACCCACTGCCATCAAGTCGATTCCGACTCATAGCAACCCCCAGTGGGTTTCTGAGGCACTAAATCTTTATAGAAGTAAATCACCCTGTCTTCCTTCTGCAGAGTGGCTGGTGGGTTTGAACTGCCAAACTTCTGGTTAGTAGTCAAATGGCTTAGGCACTATGCCACCAGAGCTCCTTTGCTAAGCCATTAGTGGTGTCCAAAAAGCTCAATGATTAAACAGCAGCCACTAGACAAAGAAGAGTTCTACATGCCAGGACAACGCTGCTGACACTTCACATGGGCACAACAGCTCTGTGACGTGAGAACTGCTATTATTCTGTTTTGCAGAAGCTGGAAAAGTTCAAATAATCGAGTAAGTGGCAGAACTGGGATGTGAGCCAAATCCTGCCTGGTGCCAGCGTAACTAGTAAGTGCTGCTGCCCTGACCCTTGTACAAAACCATGAGCTCACCTGAGTGGAGGAGGTCACCTCGGTCTGAGTTCTAGGAGTCTTGGAATCTGTAGACAAGAAGAAAGGGTTGTTATTAACAGTCCGTGGACTCTGAAGTCATCTGCTAGGGTCTAATAATAGAGTGAAACTCACCACATTATTTAAAGGAACACAGCACTGGAAATAACCAAATATACAACCATGAGGGACAAGTTATACAAGTTATGACATAGCCATATAATGCGAGCTTTAAAAGATAGTTTAGAAAAATACTGATGACATGATATGCTATGTGAAAAATGCAAGACAAGAAAAAATTCCATATAGTTTGATCCAGTGTTTCTAAAGAAACTTATTTCTATTATATTATTTATTGTATATTATATGTAGGAGCTCTGCTAGCATAGTGCCTAAGGCACTTGACTGCTAACCAGAAGGCTGGTCGTTCAAACCCACTAGCCACTCCTTGGAAGGAAGGCTAGGTAATCTACTTCTATAGCAATACCACCTCAGAAACACAAGGAGGGGTTGCTATGAATTGGGTCCAACTCGATGGCACATAACAACATATTATATGTGGGAATATATTTTCACAAACAGGAAGAAAAAAATGGAAGGATATATACCACCTAATAAAAGCACTATTAACATTTTCATTTCCTTCTATGTACCTTTTTGGAGTAAAAATATATATATACAAATATTTAACTTAAGCAATAAATTCTTAAATGCCTGGGCAGGTTTAGCACCACCTGGTAGAAGGAGGAATGTGGACCAGACGCTCTTGCAAGGCCCTTTCCTCCATGGAAACAGTGTTTCTGCAGAAATCCCTCACGGCAGCAGGAGGCCAACTATTAGAGTGAGAGCAGTAACAAGGGGCCAGTGCTTGGCAATAAACACAGGCCCAAAGTTCCAGGAGCTGAACCATGCATGACAGGATGAAATGTTTCTGCATCTTGAGATATTTATTTTCTTCTCAGCTTATCATTTTGCCATCAAGAAGTTAAAAAATATCACAGAAATTTGTTTATGCAAAGACACGTTCATCCCTGAGCCAGGAAGAAAGGACTAGCAAGAGAGTGGAAGAGGGGGTGAGCCTGCTTCTGCTCGGGAGAGAATTTCTAGCAGGAAAGTACCAATGTCAGGAGGAGAGAAAACCACACACCAGCAGTGCTGAAGGCGGCATAACAGTATGTACAACCTCCCCACGTACTGAAGGAAAAACAGAGGACTGGAGACAGAAAGCAACTTGTCCAAAGCCACACAGCAAGTCAGAGACAGAGTTCAGAATCAGACCTAGAATTCACAGGAGGGACCCAGTTTTCCACCCCTTGTGTTCATCATAACCCAGCCTGTCAGAGAACTAGACTCACAGCAGGGGTGAATGAAGGTCAAACAAAGGGCAGCGGGAGCTAGAATGGAACCAGGGGATGGGGCAGCACTAGAGAAAACATGGCTGACCACAGATGGTCATTCAGCCCAATGGTTCCCCAAATGCAGCCCATGCACAGTGTCATTTGGGAGCCTTTTAAGCCCACTTCAGTCTACGACTTCAGAATCCTGGGGGTGGGTTTGTAAAAGGCTCCAAAACCCAGAGAGATGCTCCAGGAAGAAAGAGAGGCCCATATAGTTTTTACTTTCAGCTCTGTACCCAACATGGTATGTGGCCCAGAGGAGGACATTTAACGTCTGTGGCTCAGATTCCTGAGGTGGTCAAGTGGGAAATTTATTTTGGTATTATCTCTAAAAATCCAGAATGTGAACAGAATGAAGGAAATTTCTCTAATAAAGAAATTAAGTCTTAAATAACGAGATTATTTTAAAGCTCCCCAGATGACTCTGGCGACCTCTGATTCAGATCATTTCGATGGGCACCAGAACCACTTTGCCTCACTATTAATAATAATCATTCTCGTTTCACAGAAGAAGAAAGTGAGACTCAAGAAGAAATAACTTACACAACAACAACAATAATAACAATAGTTAGTAGCTGACAAGTTGGCTCCGATGGTCACCCCACCATGTCCATCAGAAAAACACCTTGTCCATTCCTGTACCATCCTCACAATCACTGGCATACTCAAGTCTACTGCTAAGGCCACTGTATATTTTGAACACCTCATCTTCTAGCACTATTATCAGGCAATATTCTGTGGTGATCCATAAGGTTTTCCTTGACTAATTTTCTGAAGTAGACTGCCAGGCCTTTCTTCCTAGTCCTAATCAGGAAGCTCCACTAACACCTGTTCACCATGGGTGACCCTGTCGGTATTCAAAACACTGGTGGCATAGCTTCTGGCATCTTAGCAACACACAGCTACCACAATGCGACAAATTGGCCAATGGGTAGTAATAATACCTATTGCATACTAATAAAATATTACTATCACCAACTTTTTTGCTGAGGCTACCATATATCAAGGAGCTCTGGTAGCATAGTGCCTAAGGCACTTGACTGCTAACCAGAAGGCTTTGGTTCAAACCTACCAGCCACTCCTTGGAAGGAAGGTTGGACAATCTACTTCCATAGTGATACCACCTCAGAAACCCAAGGAGGGGTTGTTATGAGTCGGGTCTGACTTGACGGCACATAACAACAACAACAAACTATATCAGTGCCAAGTGGTTCGTGTGCCTATATTATCATCTCATCTCTCCCTCGCAGCATCATATTAAACAGCCACTACTAGAACTTGACGACCCACACATTTGAAGCAAAACAAGAAAAGTGAAACAAAGAATAAGAACATGTAAACAAGTCTTCATTTTTTTCCATCTAGGCCAAAGGTCTTTCCCCACAGGTGTTTTCTATTTCCTAATGCCTTTCTTCAGTTAGCATGTTAGGTGAAGACCGGGAAGGAACACCATTCACTGAGCCCCTACATAGTGTGTGTGTATTCACAGTAGGAGTGAGAGTGGTGATAGTAACAAAACAACAAAGGTAAAAACATCTCACGGTAATCAAACACTTACAATGTGCCAGGTACCATTATAGCCACTTGGCATGAATAAACTCTAATCCTCACCATAGCACTCTTAGGTAGGTACCATTATTAGCTCCATTTTACAAGTGGGAAAACGGAGGCATGAAGACATTAAATAACAAGAAATGAAAGAAAAAAACTGGGATTTAAACCAAGTCTACCTAGCTCCAGGAATTAATTTTATCTGTATTTTAAAAAAATCATCCCTGCATTTCTCATATTCTAGAACTGTATAGTCCTCAGCTTTACAAAACCAGCATTTAACACAGGTCTGGCATCTTGCTAAAAAACTGTGGACAGGCAGTCCCCAACTTATGATGGGGTTCCATTCCAACCACTCCTTTATATAAGTTGGTTCCGACATAAGTTAAATACCTCTTTTTTTTTTTTCCTTCAGTTTTCATTATTATTACTACCTTCTTTATCAGTAACTTTAAAAAGTCAACCTTTATTTGTCTTTAGGGGTTGGAAACTTTACTTATAAACTTACAGATATGATGAAAACAGCAAATTATGCACTGCAGCACATGTATGTAGTACATATTACTAACAATAAGATATACAAGAAAAGAAAGAAAGGATGGTCATAATGCAGTTCATCACAACTCGATACATAGTAGGTTGGAGACTCCCTGTAGTTAGTAGAGGAGCTCTGGTAATGTAGTGCCTTAGGCATTTGACTGCTAACCAGAAGGCTGGCAGTTCAAACCCACCAGCCACTCCTCGGAAGGAAGGTTGGGCAATCTACTTCTGTAGTGATACCGCCTTGGAAACCCAAGGAAGGGTTGCTATGAGTCTGATCTGACTTGATGGCAGTGCACTGAGTTTGCATTGTTGTAGTTAGTAAAATTTCATTGTGGGGAGAAAAATCAATTGGACAAAAGACTAGAAAGAACATGAACAGTGGCTGCTGCTGGGTGTTTTCCCTGAATTAATATTTCAAAGTTTTCTACAAGAATGTAGAGACATACTTTAATATCTATAACAAATTGAATGGATGAATGGCCATATCCAGTAAAAGAGATGAATAGAAAAAGATACCTGTGGTTTTTGTTTTTGTTTTTAAAGAGAGAAATGTATCTCTGTTCATTTAGGAATTGGTTTGAGTTTATATGCTGGAGTTTTGGAAATGGAAAAATACAATATAAAAGATAGCAGAGGCTTAGCCCTGCCATATACCAAGTATGTAACCTTGGTCAAGAGGCTGGACCAAATAAAAGAGGGCCCTACTTTTACTATAGCCCCTAGTTACCCTTCAGGTCTGGAACTGAACTCATTGCTGTGGCTTCCAGCCAAACAATAGACAGGCATATGGGATGAATATTTACATCAGGTAGATACACTCCTTGGTGTGATCAGTCATGGGAGAACAGAAGTACAGTGTTTGCACAGGGAGATAGCTGTAGGGGGGAGTGCATGGGAGGGAAGGACACAGGGAAGAGGTAACTATGGGGAGGAAGGGGAAGAGAGCTTTTGCATTGTGGGGAATCACAGTCAATGCCATGAGACAAAATATGTATGAACTGCTATAGGGAAAATAAATTTGCTCTGTAAACTTTCACCCAAATCACAAAAAAAATTAAAAAAAAAAAAAAAGAGGGAGGGAGAGAGAGAGAGAGAGAGAGAAGAAACAAATATGGTGGGGGGAGGGATAGGCTTAATCTTTTAGATTATGTTTCCTCATTTCTAAGCAAGGTGATGAGGCCCTGGTGGTGCAAATGGTTAAGGCTTGGACTATTAGCCAAAAAGTTGATGGCTCGAACCCACCCAGAGGCACCTCAGAAGACAGGCCTGCTGATCTACTTTTGAAAGGTCACAGCCTTGAAAACCCCATGGAGTCCAAGGCACAACCAAACCAAAAACTCACTGCCATCAAGTCGATTCCAACTCAGAGAGACACTCCCCGACCCCTCTGGGTTTCCAAGGTGGTAAATCTTTATGGAACTAGACTGCCCAGTCTTCCTTCTGCAGAGAGGCTGGTAGGTTTAAACCACCAACCTTTTGGTTAACAGTCAAATACCTTAGGCACTACACCACCAGAGCTCTTTCCGAGGCCCAACAGCTGGTCTCTATTCACCTGAAGC